ATTGTTCTGATGAAACAAACTTAGATCCCCATTTCTTGCATGTTAGATTGATTGGTAAATTATATAATCGCGGAAGGGTAACTTCTTTATGCGATTCATTATATTCTTACAAATACAAAATTTATACATACTGTAACTGTAATGTTACATTTAACGATTATATCATTCTTTAATATAAAGAAACAACGTTAACAACTTATAATGTTTCACTGTTATAGGATCAAACAGATGATAACTTTTTATTTACAACAATAGTTTTCAATTTAAGTTAAAAAATAACAGTTTTCAAAGTATTTTACTGTTTAAAATAATTTTATTTTATTTTCATACTTTTGGAGGTCAATAAAAAAATCTTTCGTCAAAATTTTAGAACTATAATTCTTGTACTACACCATCAAATCAAGTGACATAATTCTTGTACTAACCACTGTTTAAAATATTTCGATAACGAAGCTTAATTAATCATTTTGTCGACTGGAAACAATAATAGGTATGATGAGCCCAGTACATACTAGTAGTACGTAGTACGCTGCACAACCTGTGGTTAACTATGCAAACTTCATCAAAATTATTTGATCCACACAGCCATACAACCAAATAAAATAAATAAGTAGTATTATCTATGAAGTGATGTTTTCAGCAAAATAATTGTTATGTGGTAGGAGAAGATAAGAAATTTACCTTATACCCTATATAGGTCTGGATAGTCTCTTCGTGAGTAATTAGTTAATCGGGTTTATTTCTCTAATATTATACAATAAATTGACGGTAGAAACACTAGTGATCTTTTTCATTTTTTTGTCACGAGTCTGAATTTGATGACTAAAGGGGATCGAATTTCCACCACTGGGAGACTCTTCCTTTTTTGTGCTTTCGGTTTGGTGTCTGTTTATTGGTTTTGTACCTTTGTCGACGACGTTTGAATTAAGGCCTTTATTATGTTCACCAACCACGTGTTTTCTTTTAGTTATTGATTTCTTAGCGTCTCCTAAAAAAGTTTCACTGAGCCAAATTGTTACCAAGTGTTAACTGATCAATTTTCAAATAAAAATACTGAAGTTTTAAGTTATAATCTTGGAGTAGTTATCATTAATATAGCAGATTAAAGTTATTAGGTGGACTCGAAAACACAAGCTAAATTTGCATTACTAAAAAGATATTAAAAGAGAGGAGGCAGCTTCTGGGAGTAAATATGATCAACCAAGTGTACTTTGAGAAGAGACTGATAGAAAGAGGACAGCAAATTAAATGGAAGAGTGTATTTTCTCACAAAGACAAGCAGGGAAATACATGACAAAAGAGTACGAAGAAAACAAAAATTTGTTTTGAAAAATTAGATTAGGGCTTCTTCAGAGGATGCAAACAAATCTTATCATAGATTATGTTAGGTACTAAAAACACTTACCTTGTGACTATTTGGGGATGTTTCTTCACACACTGTGCAGAAAATCAATAACAACATAAGTCATTACTCCTTGGATTCTTTTACACGTGATGAAATTTGTCTTCACTTAGGAAAATCAAAGTTGGCGTTGCTCATTATATGGGAGAAGTTAAAAAGTAAAACAACTAAAACAAAAATAAGTTAAAGGAACACAACTTGGAGAAAATGAAGGATGGTGATGATGGGAAAGAAGAAAACTAGTTTGGGACATCTCGAGTTCCAAAACCTATGAAAACTCAAAAGCTATTTCACTTTTTTTCTTTCTCATAGCTTTAGACAACACTTATCTACATCTCATTTGTCCACGTTTTTAATTTTATCCTTTTTTCTTTCACAGACATGTTGTACCACTTCTTCTTTCGTATGACTGACTCTTGCTATATATAGTTTCCAATGCCATTATAGAAATATCACATGTGTCTCATAACATGCTTGTTTCAAATGTAGGGCTCAATACCCATGACATCAATAATTCGGTGGATTGCATGTTGTGCAGCCTTGTTGCTTTTTGGTAATTTCAGAGGGTAAAACCAAATATTGGGCTAGAGTATTTCATCACATTTTATATAGGCCCAATCGTAAGAGTATAAGACCAGTCTCACTAGTCCAGGCCCAATTATAAGACCAGGTATGAGACACGTCGAGATTCGTAGAATTCACAATTGAACTTGTGTTTCTTTTTATCTTTGGAAACTTGGACAAATATCATTATTGGACGTTGAGGTAGTACTTGATTATTCCAAGTTCTGATTAAATGAAACTAACACGAAACCATGTTTGTGTGCTCATAAATATCTACCACCAAACGAATTAATTGAAGTTTTCCTAATCAATACCACACGATTAATAAGCATTAATAAACAATAGTTCCTCTGCCAAACGTTGTTTTGAAACTTTTCTCTTATTATATCTCTACTTGCAACATTTTGGACTTAAGTTCTTATTATATCTCTACTTGCAACATTTTGGACTTAAGTTCTTATTATAAAACACTCTCCATGCTGAAAACCCAATACAGAAAGCACATTAAAACTTGGGAAAAGATATTTTGTAAGCTCTATTCCGTTCCTATTTGTTCAGATTACGACTTTTTAGTATTTGATAATTAATATCGAAGAAACTAAGATAAGATTTGAGCAGATCGCAAAGCAAAAAGGAGAAGCCATATGCTTCGTGGTTATGTTTGAAAACACATGTTAGCAGAAAGGTGAGGTATTAGTGTATTACTACTTTTTGCATTTATCATATAATGTTCATACCATTCTTGTTTTTAGTGAATTGCTCACTATATTAAATCATATAACAGGGTCGTGACTTAGTCCAACAGATCCCACATGCATATGTTTAATACTACTAACACCAATATGGCTTAAAAATAAAATTATAGAGATCTCGACCACTGATAAATTAGATGAATGTCCCTCTCGATCTTTTGTTTTCCTTATAATATTCCAAAGATATTTGTGGAAACGTTAATATTTTTGGTCTAACTTTGACTCTTATCAACATGCAACTTGAACTGTGATAACAGCTGATGAACAACATGAAATTTCTGTATACACATATCAGATTCATTGAATTTGAAGCTGTAATAGAATGAGCAAAAGGTGGGGCAAGAGTAGATGGAATGGGTTATCCCACTTAATCTCACTAAACAAACAGTAATTAGATTGAAAAAACGTTCGAAAAAAGCTTTAGCACCAAGAGAAGAAATCAACCTCTTTATAAAACATCACACAAGGCCACAAGCGAACGTGTAACGAAATAAGTAGCATGTTTTTTTTTTTAGATGTGTTCATATAATTTATTTTATTATTCTAATTCTCCTTCAAATTAAACAGAGAAAACATCATTGAAATTTCGTACTATTTGTTATACCGAATCTACTTGCTCTGAATCAACCACATTTATCTCCTTCATTCCATGTGATTCATTTAATTTTGCACCATCCGTTTTGCTGTTATTATTCGAACACTCTCAACTCCAAGAAGATCGGATAAGAAACCACATGGACAAAGATCAACGGTAGTCACATGCATGTCCTAGCTTTTCAAGTCCTGTGGACAGAATCAAAGCCAATATATTCGTGATCATGTCTCATCTTGATAAAAATAACAAAAAGTATAAAACATATAATTAGAACCCATGTGGAATTGGATGTACATACCAATCGATCAATCTCAACCCCATTCGACTTTATGACCTGTGTGATTTATCCCCTAAAGTTCAAAAAGAAACCTATCATTCCGTTTTCTGTTGAAAGGTCATTATAAATCCGACTTGCACTTGATGAATACGTAAAGAAGTCTCGATGATTGTATATGTGGGGAAGAATAATACACCAAATGCGTTCCAGTTATCAGTTTCAATAATGTTAAATGCCAACAAATATATTGTCAAATTATTACTCTTTCTAATGGTTCCAAATTGGCAGTTGAATATGGTTATTATCATGTAACATTTCTAAAGTGGTTAAGAAAAATACGTCTTCAAAATATCTAATTTCACTATTAAATATTTTTTATGTAATTGATCACATGTCAAATATGATAATGAAATTCTATTAACAAATTGTTAAAAACATACAGTATAGTAATATGAATATATAATGCATGAAACATCCATCCCAATCATGCAACTTCCGCTTTTGTTTTGCTGCACACCTCATCAGTCATCACATCCTCCTTTCTCTTTACAGATTTATCTGGATCCATCTTCTTTTCTCTACTCCACTATTGTTTTCTATCTTTAAACAAATCAAGTAATACTTATCCTCAAGACCCCAATCATATATGACGGGAAAACAAAATCTTATCCCTAATCATACAATCGACACCACATTTGAGCTAATCCAATCGTTAAAGTCATTAACACCGAATTCACTAACTTGTCGAAATTACATCACAAGCTTTCTCCAATAGCTAATGTCATGTGATTCTTTTTATGATTTTATCACTTATCTTATTCTTAACAATGATTATAAATGAATTATAGTTCTAACGTGTATATCGAGAGAAAAAACTCTAAAAAGGTTAAAACGCAAACAAATTTAAAGGAGTTATGTCGACACACATGAATCTTAAAACAGTAATATATGAATCAATAAGACACTATAAATGGGACCAACCCCAAAAGACAGAGAGTTTAAAAAAGATGATGTCCTAATCACTCAAATGTAAGAGACGTGCAAAAGAAAATTAAAAAGACATTGAGATTGCATTTAGAATTGACTCTTGAACATTCTTAAAAGAGAGTCATAAACACATAAATATCATTTATTGATAGGGAATCTTCAGGACAACATTCTTAACCACACGGACACACTCTCACAAACACCACACAAAACACTCTGCTTCGTGACGCAACATATCGGCAAACAACGACCCAAAAACACACAAATGATGAAAAGACTACAACTTTTTTTAACGATCACGATTCCAAATAAGAATTATGAACAAGAATCACAAATCGAATCTAGAATCCAACAATTTATTACAAACAGGAATTTCAAAAAAAAAAAAAAAAACAAGAACTCAAATTGATGATTCAAATCAAATCAAGCGGGAGTAGAAGTCCAGAGAATGTCCTTGAGAGCTGGTCTAAGAGCAGTACTGCAAAAGTTGTTGTACTCAAGAGTGTCTCCATGATCTTTCTTCACCTCCACCATGACGAACGACGGAGCCACCGCGAATATCTCCGCCTCCACCGCCAATTTCCCTTTCCGCCCATTCTGTTTCCCTTCGATCCTCACTCTACTCTCGCTCTTCCTAACATCGAACTTGTTCCCAACTCTCGCCGCCTCTTCAAGGCTCGAAATCACGCTGCTCGCCGGACGAGAAGTCGCGAATCTCATCTCCCTCTTCTCCTCCTTCTTCTTCTCCTCGAACAGCGGCGACAGGTCAAACCCTTCAGATAACGCGATTATATGAAACGCGTTTAGCGTCTCCGTCTCTTCCTTCGACTTGTGCACGGAGCAATCAGGATCCTCAGCCGCAACTTCAGCGATTGGTTCGGTTTTGGATCTCGCTGCGGTTCTCTTGAACCAGGTCGAATCCATGACCTTATCGACTGTGATTCGGGTATTCGGATTCGGATCCAGAAGCTTCGTGACGAGCCTTCTCGCGTCGGAGGAAAGCCACCCAGGACATTTGAAATCTCCTCTGTAGATCTTCCGATACATGTTCACCAAATTATCATCCTGAAACGGCAAATACCCAGCGAGCAGCACAAAGAGGATAACGCCGCAGGACCACAGATCCGCCTTCGCTCCGTCGTATCCTTTCTTCAGAATCACCTCCGGCGCAACGTACGCCGGAGTTCCACAAGTCGTGTGGAGAAGCCCGTCCTGCTTCAAATGCTCGGTGAAAGCGGAGAGACCGAAATCAGTCACCTTGAGATTCCCTTCCTCGTCTAGCAACAGATTCTCCGGTTTCAGATCCCGGTGATAAACCCCCCGGCTGTGGCAGAAATCGACGGCGGAGATCAATTGCTGGAAGTAAACTCGCGCCACGTCCTCGCGCAGCCTTCCTTTGGCGACCTTGGCGAACAATTCGCCGCCGCGCACGAGCTCCATGGCGAAATAGATCTTCGATTTGCTCGCCATGACCTCGTGAAGCTCGACGATGTTCGGATGCTTCACCATCCTCATCACCGAGATCTCTCGCTTGATCTGCTCCACCATCCCGACTTTCACCACTTTCTCTTTCCCGACGACTTTCATCGCCACGCTTTTCCCCGTCGCTACGTTGCGAGCGTGGTACACCTTCGCGAATGTTCCGTGGCCTAGAAGCCGGCCTAGCTCGTAACGGCCGTGAAGCAGCCCCGTACTTACCCCGCCGTCAGATTCGTTCTCTACCATTTTCACCGGTTTAGCTCCGACCATAGTTTTTTTTACGGTTTGAAGTTTTTGAAAAGTAAAAAAAAAAAAGAAAAAAAAAAGATTTTACGGTTTTGATTTTCGGAGAATTCGAGAATTTTGAATTGGATCACCCGTCCTCGACGTGTTTCCGGTGGCAATTCCTGCCGCCGACGGATCGGTTAAACCGATCGCACAGCTTAGTCTTCACCGGCGACGATAATCCAACCATCTCTCTGCATTCCCTTCAAAGGGTTTTTTTACCTCCTTTGTTTTCTTAAAATCAGCAGAAGAGAGAGAGAAAGATTTGAGGAACAAAAGTCTGAGTTAAACACGACACTCGTTTTATTTCTCGTTTTTCACCGGATAAGAAGAGCAGGAAAAAGTAGTGTTTATATAGATCCTGAGAGCTTTGAAATTACGTGAATGCCCTTATTAGTGAGTGATAATTACACCGTCTAATCTCTTTTCACTGACCGACAGGTGTCAAGATTTCTTGTGGCGGCTTCGGGATTCTCAATTATGGGAGAGCGATGACGGCACGTGTCCTTTTGATACCGGTTACGATGCGAGTTTACTATTCTATCCCTCTAGTGTTTTAGTGTAGATACTAGATAGGAGGATTCTTGGAAAGTGATTAGCTCTCTCGTTGACTGCCTACTGCTTAGTCCTTCTTACCATTTGCATTGCATAATACAAATTCAATGTATATGATCGTTGAGGGAAATATCATAATTATAATATTTTGACTAAGTTTCTCTATCTACAAATATGTAAATTTTGTTTTGAATAATTTGGTGTCATAACTCATAATGTAGGACCTGATAATTTTCCATAGAATTCTTCAAAGTTTGCTTTAGTTTTGTTATTTCGTTTACATTTGTTGTGGTCCTTCGTGGACCATTATGTGTTGATTCTAGGGTTTTCTCATCCCTTTGTTTTTTGTACACGAAGACAGTTTAATAAAATGTGAATTTCTTTCCTCTAGTTTATGTCGAGACTATAGCAGAATAATTGAGAAAATGAGCACATTTTATGCATCATAAGATTTCCGACATATCCCTCCGATCATCACAGGTTTCAGGAGCTTTAAGTAGCGATTAACCACTACACGAAGGCTGAGCATAATGTTGGGATTAGTCTAAAATCATGTATGATTGTCAACTTGTGAAGGAAACATTTCAAAAGGAATTAGAACACATCGATCCAGCAATTGGAAAAATTAGTTTTGATTTCTTACTTATATATTCGACCAGAAGAATGAAGAGACATGTGCGCGTATGCTTTGTGTAGTTACACAAACTTACGTGCGAAGCTGTGCAGAAGACATATGTAGATTATTATGTATACTTTTACAAATCACTATACACCAGTGACAACACGTATACATATCTCCACACAATATGACCTTACAACTACGATTGAGTTCAGTTTGATAAGGTCATATGACATATTAAACTTAACGGCGCGATCCAAAAGTTTATTCATTTTGGTTTTCAATCAGGAAAAAATTATCGTTATAATTTGTTGATAAGAAATTGACAGAAAAAAGAGTATATATAAAATTTGAAAGAAAAGTAAAGAACCGAAACTGCATTCAATGACCCAGCAGGCCAACACGATGCTCTTTCTTCCTCAGCCACCAGAAACATTTGGGCGTCTCTCAGCGTCAGCGACCCCCTACCTTTGTTCATGTGGTCATTTCCCTCCTTATATTTAAGAATTTTTAATTTTTAAATTTTATCTTAAAAAAAAATTGCACTCCTGCTTTATGCCTTTATCTACCAGATAATGTTTTGAAATCCGAATTATCATATATACTTTCCGAACACGAGTCGTTTATAGAACGGAAGATGAATCTCTAGTGGAATTTTGCAACATTTATATATCATCAGAAGTCTATTAAAATACGAGGTGAATTCCACCCAAATTTCGCTATACATATGTAGTTTTCTTCAAACTTACCTGCCATTAAAAAGTAAATGCGAACAATTTGTTTCAGTAATGATGTTTGAAGGGGTCTGAATGCATGAATATGGTCAAACGGTTGCATTTACCGCATTAACCATAAAACAATGTGCAATTAGAGTAGGCAGCAACTTGCTTGTGAGTATTCGCATTCACGAGCTCTGCCTTCTCTGTTGCTTCTCGTTAATGATTTATCTGAGACACACAGACACTTGCACAAACACACGAAAAGAGGATGTATAAAAAATGACACTATTATTGCTGACACGCATGGGAAAACAACTATATTGAATATAATTTAATATTCCTTGGAAACAATTGATGATGTTGTTGAATCGACAATAGCGCTTTCAATGATGCCAATATGGGCTGTTTAATATATTTGTATGTCAAATTATGCATATGATCTTATATGAAACAAAATATTATCGTATGACTTGCAAATAAACAAACGGAGATGTACAAATCAAATTAGTATAAAGGGAAAATCTGAAAGAAAAACAAAAATCATAATTCTTTCAATGAGGAGGTTGTTTTGTTGTTAAAAAGAAAAGGAAAAGAACAACTTAATTTTACTTCTTATTTGTTATACCCTAAACCAATCTGAGTTTTAATTAAATAAAAAGAAACAACAACTTTGTTTGGGATGAAAAATTAAACAATTTTGAATAAGACAAAGATACCATGGAAAATCATAACCTTAAATAATTGATATTAATCAGTCATAACATTGTTTTAGACGAATAACTAACACCGTCGGTCTGATGTCCTAATTGTCTCCTAGACATTATTCTCTTATTTCAATATATTATTCTCTTATGAAACAGCTTAAATACATGTGGTCCTTAACTCCTTATACATGTAGTAGTATTAATTATAAAGGAACGATTCAATAAATAAAATAACCACATAAATTGGGTTAAATCCCGTTAAGATTAATCTTCTACTAATAATGACATACTATAAAATCTATGTAAAGCGATTTTTAAAACCCTTTCATAACGCATGTGTCTTATTTCAGCGACTGCACTAGTTAATATAGCAGGTGCAACATATAATATTTCTCTTGTAGCATGCTGGTAAGCTAGTTGCTATTGATTAATTCGTAGTTGAGGTTATGGTATAACACCAAATGTGTAAAAACTACATAACATTAATACGTCGCAACGATTAAAAAATAACAAACAACATCATTAAGGCGAATCACATAACAAAAGCGATATCATTCATGGGAGTTTCTATCAATAGATTGTTGTGCAACAATGTGTCAAGTTGTTATGTTTTGGTTGATATATAGATCAATCAGTATTAAAGCAGCTGGAGTAAACCTAAATAATTCTGTAGTATCATGGAATAATTGCTTTGCATGTCCTCGTAGTAGTTCAATAGGAAGCAAAAACAAAAACAACCACAAAGAAACAAAAGATGGGCAGGCGTTTTCTCGTTCAGGTTACATTACATGATGACGTAATCATGGGACCCACATGGGATATTCTCTCACAATTTGGTAGGCGATGTCTTGTTTTATTGTCCACAGGGTGGGGCCCATTTCCATCATCAATACCTTTTTTTATGTATAAACCAATATTCAGAGTATGAAAACTATGTCGAAAATTATGATTGTTAAGACACATTTGAGCTCTAATCAAACATAATTATGAATATTTCCGGTCGTATTTAGCTGATAATCCGCTTTGAGATGCTTGCCGATGAGATTATATATCAACCATTGGGATAATAACACCTATGCTAGTTGTAACTTATAAACTTAGGTTTTGCTAAAAACTAATTAAACTTAGTTAAGAAAATGAAATTAGAACTTTCCTCGAACAGAGCAAATCGTTTGTCTAGACTCGTACAAAACAAGTCTGACAACACATGTACTTGGTGGTAATAGTAAACAAAAAAGAAGCACACGCTATTCTCATTTTCTCTTAACATTATTTTATGAAAGTTTACGCCAGTTTCGGCTGCTGCTTGCAATAAAGCATATCAAGTTTCAGGTTATAAATCTCAAGTTTTTATATCTTTGATCCAAATTACTTTAATCTCAAGTCTGGAGGTTCAAATTTTAAACAACAGAAAATCGTCTACCGAAAAATAATGACACAAAATAATAGACGTGATTATTGTTTTTGTTTTCTAAAGTCTCGTATATAGGCAATAAAGCATATCAAGTTTCAGGTTATAAATCTCAAGTTTTTATATCTTTGATCCAAATTACTTTAATCTCAAGTCTGGAGGTTCAAATTTTAAACAACAGAAAATCGTCTACCGAAAAATAATGACACAAAATAATAGACGTGATTATTGTTTTTGTTTTCTAAAGTCTCGTATATAGGCAAGCGAAGAGAATGTTGAAATTGCATGTGATGCAACTTGAGATGACGTTTCTATACGCTACGAATCGGTATTTCACTTAAGTACTGATTAATGTTAAACGAAAGCCGTCTCTCTCAAAAAAAAAACATTCATTCATTGAAAATTGAAATCATCGGGTGGTGCACGTGAGACCCACGTGTATATATAGTGACAGTTACATTTTGTTGTTGTCAAAGACTGTGGACTTACATTACTTATACTTTTCTCAAAACAAACAGTATATACTATCATCAGGGGGAAATTTAAGTTATTGTCCGAAAATGATTCTTCAAGCAAAAGAAAAAAGAAATATAAAAATACCAAAAACTTTCTTTGGGTTTAATAAATCACACTTTGTTGATGGGAATCTATAAATTCAGCTAGTATTATTGTCATAGGCAATTTCTATTGCTATCATCATCATATTATCATTAGGAATCAAATCCTTTGTTTGTAGGGAGCCAGCAAAAAGTAAACACGTGTGGCATAATTGCACGTCAAAGCCAAAATCAATAACATGTACTCTGCATGCAGGCATTACTTGCAATATGAATTATCAATACTTTATACAAAACAATTGATACTTTATTTCATTTTCAAACCATTATCAACACCAAGAGGTCCAATTCCTTCATAATCAGTAACATGTTCGTCATTGTCTGCGCTATGTATATATAATTCCTTCTTTTTTCCTTTCT